TCATCCATGGGTGCTCACTCCTTTCCATTTCCTGTTGGGCTCCTGTAGTCTTCTGAGTCTGCCAGACCTCCGGAGGGGTTCTCATCCTACATGGGTAGGAAAAGGAATTGAAGAGGAAGCCTGACTGACTGCCCACCAGAGTCACGATGAGTATGCCTTCTGACATGTCTTCCCAGCTCCATCACAAAGTACTGAACCTTAAAATATAGAAAGAGAAAATCAAAATGGCATCGCTCATTATGAACTTGGACTGAAGTCCAAGGTCAAAACCTCCAAAGCCCAGGAAAGGAAGTGAAGCCAAAGCCCTTGGTGCAGCCTGGGAGCTGGACTCCTGAGGAGTGCTGAGACTGGCCGAGCTCCCAACCTATCTGCTAGGAGCTCTAGAAGAAGAGAATGCAGGGATAAAGACATGACAGCAGAGGATATTCCAGTCAAGGAAACAGCATTACAGGAAGCAGATGGGTATGGTGGGCTTAGGGTCACTGGGCTTAGGGTCAGGGTGTAATAAATGGCAGCTGTCACAGCTGTAAGCGACCTGGGAGTTTATCCAGCTCGACCCCTCCCTGCTGGCCCCAATACATACACATGTACACACACACTCCCACCCAGAGAGAGAAAAGATTGGTCAAGCTGTACTTTTTAAAAATGTTATACCTTTGGTGTATTCATTTGGGCTTCACTTTTTGGTATAAGGAGTGAGGGAGGGATTGTAATTAGTCTTTTTTTCTAAGTGGCAGTCAGATATTTATGAAATAATCCTTCTTTCTCCCAATACCACAAAAAGTCACTTTGATCAAATACTATGTATATTTGAGGACCCCATCTTCAGGTCTTCAGCATATTGTGACTACTTTGAATTTGCTGACTTCCGGGTCCATGTAACCTCCCCCAAGTCACAGCTCTGATTGCGCTATTTTGAGCTCATGGGTCAGAGCTCCACTCAGGCCAAAGGTGGTCGGGTTTGTCCTAAGGATCCACCAGAACCAGTTACTGGAAGCTGGTCTGTCATGGCTGCTTCTCTCTGCATCTGCTCCATTCGCCCTCTTTCCAACCCGCTTCCTCTCATCAGCCCAGCTCACCTCTTCAAACCAGGCCATGTCATGGACAGTGCTGCCCGGTTTGCAGGTGGATTGGCCGCTTTTGAGTCAGGTGTCTACTCCAGTCTAAGGAGATGGCACAAGGTAGCATGAGAGGGTAGCAGGGTGACTTAGCATTGTAGGTGATGGGGAGCCATACAGTATTTTTAAGGAGGGAGAGGGTAGTGATAAGATCAGATCTAGAACGTAGAGGCAGGGCTGTTGGGTGTGGTTGTTCATGTTGCACACTGCACAAGGACCCCATATCCAAAGGACACCTTTCACATCATAGACCTTGTGGAATTGTACGTTTCTTTTGACATTTCTTTGGCAGAAGGCAGTGAATGGTCTTGTTCTAATTAAACCAGCACAAGATGACAATTTTCCAATAGATGAAAGTAAAATGTCTTAAGGAAGGCCACTTTGCACAAATGGACGGATTGGGGTGGCCCTGTATGGAGAACGGGTTGGTTGGAAGAGACTGGAAGAGGAAGAAAGAAGAGCAAGGGGTGATTTCTGCATTTCCAGGTCAGGGTCTGGGGTGTGTGGCACCACCAGTAATTAAGACAAGATGTATTCCAGAGGACAGGCAGACCTGAGAAAGCCCCCGAGTGTGGTGTACATGACAAGTTGTGATGTTCATGTGCTTCATCCTTTGAATCTTAGAACTTGACCCACCGACGCCCTCCTACTGGGTTGCCGGTGAAACAGCCTTTACTTCCCTGGGTGCCTTGGCAACCCACGGGCCGGTGCAGACTGGCCAATGGGAGGAGCCCTCTCATTTCCCACAGGCTCTGCAGTGGGAAAACCATTCTCATGACCTTCTCATGTTGGATAGTCAGAAGTGGAATATTCTCCTCAGCCAGACGAGCAGGCAACAGGAAGCAGACCTGAGGCCCTTATCAGAGCAGTGAGGCAAAATCCAGAACTGTCCCTGACTATGCTGTCACTTCTAAGGGTGTTAATGACACCGCCTGGCAAAGCCTGCCATTGACGCACGAGCGGCTGGACCTCCATCCTTGGGGAGGGGTCTTCGGGACCCAGGTGTTTTGGGGACATGCTGGTGGGATGGATATCAACATCTGCTACTGCCCCTAATAACACAAGTTAGAGGCCCAAGGAAGGTGAGGTATTGTGTGCACATCACGTCAATACAATGCAGCAGGATTTAGTGAGCCCTACCGGTCCCTGGGCAGAGCACTGGGGACACAAAAGTGAGGAAGACGTGCCCAGTGGACAAGACGGATGCGCCAGAAGTGCCCTCTGATAGTGTTCATCCTAAAGCACCGCCACCACCTGTGCAAGTCCTGGAAGCTTCATTTCCTCACCTGTAAGAGCGGAGAAGAGGACGTACCCCTTTCCTCTGCATACCTTCAACACGTGGGCATTTCCCTAGCATTGCCTTCATCATTTTGTGTTGTTTCCTAGGCTTGCCTTTCTTTTCTAATGATAATTTTCCACGACTCTAATTTTTATATATTTGCTTTTCCATTTTGTGGCATGCGTTTGTACCAGCTGCCTGCCTTAAATCCCCTGGGGCATCCAGTGAGAAGAAAGGAAGGAGACCTGGGGAGCCGGCACCACAGGTGGCTGCCATGCCTCACCCTCCCACAAGGAGGCAGTGCAGCACCGTGAGACGGGTGGTGGAGGGACCTGGTCCTAAATCCTGCGTGGGAGCTGTGTGCCTTTGAGCAATTTCTACCCTTAATCTCCATAAATCCGTCTCCCCACTTCCAATCTCCCAGGCTGGAAAGTGGGAGGAACCTCTCCCAAACCCCCAAATACCATTAAATGCCACAAGAGAAAAGCTGACCCTCCAATGACCACTACCATCTACCTTACAGGATTACATGACATACTGTGTGCAAAGTGCCTGGTGTGTATACAGTAGATGCTCAACAATTGTGTACTCCTACCTGTGGCTCTTAACCTGGGTGATTTTGCACCCCAGGGGACATTTAGTAATGTCTGGTGACATGGTTGATTGCCACACTTGGGGGAGTAGATGCTACTGGCTCTAGTGGGTAGAGGCCAGGGGTGCTGTTAACTACAATGCACAGGACAGCCTCCCACAAAGAATTATCTGGCCCACAATGTCAGTAGCACCACCAGACACCCTAGCCTACTCCCAAACAATTCTGAGCTCCTAGAGGGCAGGAAATGTGTCTTGTCCATTTATAAATCTCCTTCAGGGCTTATTACCCAGTAGACAGTCAGCAATTGAGTGTAGGATTGAAAGGCAAGTAGTGGCAAAAGGGGTGGGACTGGTGGGTGTCAGAACAGGACTAACTGTCACAGAGCAGGGTCACATGCTTCACTGTATTAACAGGGTCACATGCTTCACTGTATTAAAACTCGATTTGCAAAAACAAAATTGCTTCTTAAGTAAGCATCCTAATCAGATTGCTTTAAATGCTAGCGATCAAGGGGCCCCTTTAAGAGCTTTATAGAATTGAGCACCCCACTCCGGAGCCTCTGCCCCAAGGAGTAGTCATGGTGAACTGGAACTTCTGAATCAGGAAATTCTCTGTCTCCTACAAATCTCAAGAATGTTGAGAATGTCTTCTTCCTCCCATCACCAACTACATGTAAAGTGCTTGGCACAAGGCCGGCCATGTGGCGTGTTGGTTAAGTTGGCTTGGGAGCACTGGCTCTGAGCAGGAGGGCCGCAGTTCGGATCCCACATGAGGGCCAGTGATGCTGAGCCCTCTACAGCTAAGATGGTGAACAACAGCTGGACCTGGAGTTGGGCTGCCGTGAGTTGCTGGCGACGGCGTAGGCTGCAGTGGGGCTGCAGTGGGCTGTCGTGAGCTACCGTGAGTGGCCGGCAGCCAGAGTGAGTGGCTGGCAGCTGGCATGAGCTGCTGTGAGCCTCTGTGAGCAGCCATCCAGTGGCCGGTGAGTGACTGCCTCACCCGGGAAGAGCGCAATGATAATACCAACATGGGCCAGTGAAGCGACATCCTCCACAACTAGACTGAAGAACAAAAGGACAGCAACTTGTCTGTTCCCCTTCCCCGATTCCCCAATAAAATATATATTTTTTAAATTAAAAAATAAAGTGCTTGGCACCTTGTAGGTGCTCAGGAGACACTTTTTACCTCTGCTCTGGCCACCAACACTGCGGTTACTCCTTCCCCTCTCCGTCTGTGGTCTCCCTAACGTGGAGGCTGCACAGCCACACACAGGGAACCAAGGCAGAGTTCAAAGTGTGTCCACTCACTCCCACCATCTCTGAGACTCTCCTTAGAACATATTCACATGGCCCACTCCCCAGAACAATGCCAGTATTCATGGGTCCCAGAGTAAGCCTCCAGGAAGACCCCACATTCCAGGGCCTTCATAACACAAGTCCAAGGTCAGCTTTATGGGAGAGAAATGATCAATCCTAGAGGCTACTGTCCCCACCTGCCCCAGAGGGTTGATGACAGGACCAGCGCTGTAAATCCAGGTCCAGCCCTGTTCTGCCATCAAGTGGCTGTGTGACCTTAGGACCTGAAAGGCTAGCAGGAGCAAACAAATGAGGCGGGGGCACTGGTCTGGATGCCATAAGAGTACAATGGTGGGAGATTTGCTCCCCTCTCTGTAGAGGCACCAAAGTAATCTTCATCTAGATTCCCAAAAAGGTCCCTGCCCACTTTTGGAGGGTGGGGGTTGCCAGTCCCAGGCTCGCTTGTTCCTTCTGCAGACCCTGTCCAGTGCCTTCCCTTTCTGATCCGGTTTCCCCCAGTGGGAGGGAAGGATGCCCCCTCGTGCTGGTGGAGGTAACTGCACCCCTCCTCACCAGCTGTCTAGTCCTGGGGAGGGCTCGCAACCCACTGACCCAACACTCTGTAGTGAGAGTGGCTTTAGCAAGGCCAGAGCCACCTGCTCGCACCCCGCCCTGCCCTAGGACACTCCCAAACCAGCCACACACGCACACCCTTAAGACTTTGTAGCTGTTTTTATTATTAATATTATCTTCTCCTTTAAGCATCCCTTTAAGGGTGAAATGAAATCCAACCATTTACAGAGAAAATGATTTCAGAATGTACATATTGATTTTCCCTTACAAAAAAAATAATAATACTATTATTGGTATCCTTAAATTATACATTTCCCAGGGCCCTGGCTTCTGCTTGGGTAAGTCCTGTCTCCCCACCCAACTGTCACCTTTGCCCTCAAAGCTCTCCCATGCCTGCCCCTGGGAACTGTGACCTGTGGGTGGGCTTGGCCTCCTTGAGTCTACAGGTCATAGGGCCGGTGTTCCCAGGGAAAGAAATCTAGGTATGGTGACAGGGCCAGTGTTGCATCAGCATTCACATTCACAGTTTGGTTTCCCTTCATATAGGGGGAGTGGCTCAGGGCTCCCCTGACCCCCTCCCCCGACCCCCAAATTCCCAGTGTATGATGTGATTATGTGAAATTTCAACCTCATGCCTTGGCCCCCCCACCCCTCTGACAGGCCTCCACTTGGCAAGTCTGAGCTCTCCCCGTCTTCCTTCTCCTGCCCAAGCGCGTGAACTAGAGGCCAGCCTGGGAAAGGGGGCGTCCTGCAGCAGCAGGAGGGTGCCAGGGGCATGGGGTAAGGAACCCAGCAAGGAGGGGGCTCAGGCACGATTCAGGAGCCCCCCGAGACTGCCTGTCCAGGGGTGAGCAGTAGTGGCTGACCTCCTGAGCCACTTCTCAGCCCCAACAGGGATCAGAGAGGGGGACTGCTGTAACTCCGAGGGAAGGGTTCCCTTGGGGCACCCTCTAGACAGGAGGGGGACTGGGAGCAATAGACCCCCTCAGCCTGCTTCATGCCTGCCTACCAGAGGCTGCGCCACAGCTAGCTCTCCAGACCATGCCCACACAGGGCACTTCCCTAGACAGAGCTGTGGCAAAGGGGACACCTCCTCTTCTGGCCCATCAGGAGACACCTGGAGAAAGTCCCTGCTGGGGATGGAGGGCATGGGGTAGAAGGATCTGGTTGGGGCCAGCAAGGGATGGGAGGTAGTGGGCACTCAGGTATATAGCCCTCAGGTCAGGATTCTCATCCCTTGGACTGAAAGACAGACAGATGGACTCCGCATCCCCTTTAGTCTTGCTTTCCAGGCTCCCCAAGGGCTCTCTGCCTCAGTCATTTTGGGGAGCTGCAGGTGTGGCCACAGGCGCCAAGTCCCAGGGAAGGAGAAGCCTAGGCCCTGCTCCCACATCCACACACAAGCATCTATGTACAGGGACACACCGACACAGACATGTACAAGTACACACAAGCATGCACCCATGCCCATAAATACACACGCACACGCACAAACATGTACCGTTCTACAGGCAGCCTCTGCATCCTGGCATCACTGGGTGAGTATCCAATGGGGCCTCGAGGAGGGGGTGTCTCACCCTTCCCATAACTGCAGGCTCTCACTGCACCCCAGCTCTGGCCTGGCAGTGAGAGGGATAGGAGCAGGTTGTTCAAGAGCTCCGGACGTGAGAGCAGGATCCTATGACTGCAACAGTCATTTCTACCCTCTACCCCTGTGCCAGAGATGCTCCTTATGCCCCGTATCCACCCTCTCCTCCTTCCATAAGAGGACTCCCAAGCTGAGGCTGGGTACGTGGCAGCCCGGCTTTCCCGGCAGCTGCTTGTGGCCATGTGACTGTGTCCTGGCCAGCAAGATGCGATCAGAAGTGATAGTGCCATCTCTGGCTCATGCCCTTACCAAGAAAGGGCATGTGCTTCCTTCCCTTGCCTCTCTGCTTCCCCTAGGCTTGGATGCACATGATGGTGGCAGCTGGAGCAACCACTCTACCCAGGATGGGAAGGTGTGTATGAGGAAAGCAGAGTTGTCCTGCTCAATCCGGACCATCGCCCCCTAGACATTAAGTCAGAAACAAGCTTCTGTCTTGCTTAAATCACTGTATTTCAGGATCTCAATTACAGCAGCTTAGAATCTACTCCAATGGATACATGTCCTGCCCCAATGAGGCAAACTAAGAGAAATGAGATGACATATAACTGGCCTTAATGTCCCTCTTGGGCCCAGGGCAAACTTGTGGCCCCTACTCAGCACCAAGGAGGGGCACAAGGGTACCTCCACCTGAGACCACGGAGAGCTGGGGCTGTGGATTCCAGCAGGAAGGGGTGATGGGGCACCCCCAGGTCTGACCTACTAGGCTGGCTGATGGTCCCATCCCACCCTGAGAACTGGACTCCTGACCTTGTAAGGACTGAGTGGGCAGCCCACAAGACAGCAATATAAAAAGTAAGAAGGAACGTCAAGGCCAGGTTCAGAATAAAAAGTAAGACTCCCTGGGCCTCCTCAGGTCCCACACCTATGTCAGCTCAGGAGGGTCTGGGAAGAACAGGTACCATCCAGCACAGTCGTGTCCTGTGGGGCAAGCAGGTGGCGTTCTCGGCTCCCTCTAGTGCAGCACTTCTGAGGACACTGTGCTTCCTCCAAGTTGGCTGCTAGTTTTCATCCCCTCCTATCTTGGTGCCCCTCTTCCTCCTGAACCCAAATGCAACTATTTACAGAGCCCCTGGACCTCCTGGCATGCCCCTTTCCCACCACAGGTCCAAACTCCCAGGAGGCTAAACAGTGGGCTTCTCCCCAGCTGGGCCGTAGCTCCCGCATGGCCACACTGGGAGTTCCTGCAGCTCCCTTCCCACGCTGTCCACCCTTCCTTGCTTCCCCAGTAACCATCATGCACTCTCCACTGGCACCTCCTGGTGGGCAGGGGGGCCTGGCTCCCCATTCCTGACAAAGAAGGATGTTTTTGAGCTCACAGGCCTGACTCCCAATTCACATGGACTTGATAGGGAAGGCTCCCCCACCCATCCTCTCCTGGTCCTCTCCAGAATCCACCAGAGGGCAGGAGGAGGCAGGAAGATAACAGCCGCCGCCGCCCTGTCACTGGCCCTGTAAGATCATGCACTCTTAGCCTTCCACCACTTCCAACTTGGCCCTGGCGGGTGGCCTTCCCTCGGGACTCTTGTTCCGCCGCCCACCTTCCGCCGTGCTCTTGAGCTCCTGGTAGGGATTGTCCAGCAGGTAGCGGAACTGGTTGTAGTTCTGCAGCAGGTACTTAGGAGCATACATGTGTTCGCTGGGGTCAGCCGGCGGGTACTCCTGCTGCGTGCCGTCGAACCAGCCCCCGGTGCGGATCAAGCTCCGGATGTAATTGAGGTCCCGTTTGTCCTCGTAGTCACCCCAGCGGGGGAAGTCGCCGTTCTGCGCGGACACGAGCTTGAAGTAGATGCCCTCGGGCGTGAAGCACCAGGAGCAGTGCCAGCCGGAGAAGTGCAGGGGGCTGCCCAGCGACCACTGCACCAGGATGTGGCCGGTGCGGTTCTCGTACTGCCGGAAGTTGGGCATGGTGTAGTACTGGCGGCGGCGCAGGCGGATGCCGTCCAGCCCGTACACCGACTGCAGCATGTCCACCGTGCAGCCCGACACCACCTCCAGGGTGCCCGGCTGCTTCCAGAAGAAGCCGTACAGCGACTTGCGCATGTGGAAGGCGAAGGGCTCCGTCCAGCCATCGTAGAGCTTGAGGAAGAGCACGCCGTCGCGCGCGGGGATCTCGTCGGCGTCGTTGATGATGAAGACGTCGTCGGGCCGCAGGTTGCGCAGGCGCGCCACGCCGTCCTGCGTCAGGAAGGTGCGCAGGTAGTCGTCGGCGATCCAGCCGTCCTGCCGCCCTCCCGGCGGGAAGTGGTCCAGGAAGACGTAAAGCACCTTGTGCCGGATGTACTCGAACGTGCCGTTGGTCAGCATCTCCCGGAACTTGAGCGGCCGCGGCTCCCCGTAGGCCGTGAAGTTGGACTCGCACACCACGAAGGCGTCCACCACGTCGCCCAGCTCGTGGAAGCGCACGTCCAGCAGGTCGAACTCGTGATTGATGTTGATGGCATTGATGACCCGCCGCGGCACCTCCCTGGGCACCAGGCGCTCCTTGGTGGGCAGGTTGGAGTACTGCACCACGGTGGGTACGCCGCAGCTGGGCCCGTGCCAGCCTGGGAGGCACACGCACTCCACCCACTTGCGCCGCGCACCCCGTCCCCCAGGGCGCTCCCGGGCGCTCAGCAGGTGCCGGGCCGGACCCCTGGCAGATGAGCCCCCCTCCGCTTTCTCCTCAGGCCTCCCCGCTGGGGGCTTCTCCAGCATCTTGGTACCTGGTTTGAAGCAGACACCCCCAGCTTTGGTGCGGACGAAATACTCAATGGTATCCTCTGGCAGCACAAAGTCCATCCGGTGCAGTTCCTCGGTGGCCTTGCTTGGCGACAGTGGCTGGAGCAGGGGTGAGTGGGAATACAGTGGGGTACGCAGCAGGTCGGGGCCCCCAGGTTCTGGGCTGGCCTGGGGTGTGACGGGGGCATTGTTCCAGAAGAAGCTGGACACGAGGTTAGGGCTGAGGGAGGCCAGTTCTCTGGGGAAGGTGACATAGGACAGGGTCTTAAAGAAGTGCAGGAAGGAGATGAGGCACAGGCCGGCCATACAGAACATGAGAAACAGCTTGTAGCGTCTCATCTTCATCCTGCAGGAAAGAGGGAAAGAGCAGACGAGTCAGGGGTCTGCATTCCTGGGTGAGGGGAGCCTGAGGCCCTTCTAGGAGCGGGACCCAAGGAGGCCTTTGCTGCCACCTGTTTGTGAATGTTCTGGCTGGTTGCTGCTGGCCCTGCATGAAGTCACCTCCTGCCCCTCAAGAGTCCAACGTCCTGTGCCCGGTACCCCTGGAAGCCCCATCGTCAAGAAACGCCCGTCCACTGGCTCAGGACCTCCCACAGCCCTTCCCCCCCGAAACCACCAGGTCATCACACATCCTGCCTCTGAAGCTCACTCGTCCACCTGACCCACCGCATCCTGAGTGTACCAGGTGCTAAGCTTTGCTCCAGAAACAAAATGCATCCTGGGAAAAGCTCAACCCTGCAGTGCAGAACCCGCCCCAGGGGGCTTACAGGCCCCAAAGCAGGGGGAGAGCAGGCGGCAGATGTGAGGTCCTTTCCCAGCACTGCCCAGGGTGCTGTTCTTGTTTGTTCGTGTGTTCTTTCTACCTATCTACCTTTTTGTGTGGGTATATTGATAAATCTTTTGACTACCTTTCCACTGAAAAAATTCAGGTCTCAAGGGATGACATTTAATTCTAACATAAAGAATAAAATTGACATTTAATTCTAACATAAGGGATAAAATTAAGTAAAAGTTCCCCTCATTACCCAATGCTCTGTGCTAGACTGATCTCCAGGCATAAACAATCTGATCTGTTTGAGGTGTATCACTGGTTTTATATACAATTTTCCTGTTCTTGGTTTAATAGTTTCCATACATATTATATTGAATGCTAAGTCCAAATTGTTTTTCTCAATCAATAGATTAAAGAGATTTTTAGATTAGTAGAAATAGAAATAAACTTACGATTTCCTTTTAAATCCCACATAATAGCCCAGGGTTATTTTGAATGAATCATTCTATTTATGAGTGATTCATGAATATAACCATTCTCTATTTTTTTTTCCCAGTCTAATTTATCAATTTGTTTATGGCTGTGGAGAGCCTCATATTATTTTTTAAACAATTTAAATAGACATTCTATTTTAGATTATTTGTCGTTTATCAGAAAAGTTGCAAAAATAGTCCAGAGGGTTCCCTTCCACACCTCACCCAGTCCCTCCTGGTGTTAACGTCTTACATCACCACAGTCCATTTGTCACAACGAGGAAATTGAAATGGGCACGTTACTATTTAGACTCCACACTTTATTTGGATGTACTATTTAATCTCATGGATGAGCCTGTGCAGCAAGAGAGTACCCTGACTCTAGCCATCCAGCTCATTGTGTCCTTGTGCGCAGGAAGGTGGGCAGGCAGGTTGGAGGTTACACCCATTTGGCTGAGTGGGACCAGTGACTTGCTTGGGGATGACCCACCAAGTCACAGGAGGGGCTGGGACAGAAACCTGAGGTTTATCATCTGGTGTCTTCATTTCCCCTTTCAAGATCCCTGTGAAAGGGCACTGTACTTCCACCTAGAACATTGTTTCCCTTAACATGCTCCTTTCTGTGGCTTCTCTTTACTTCTCTGGTTCTTTCTCTGGTCATTTGGGTGTTTTCCTGCCATACTCTACCTTTTACTTCCTAACTCTGAGGACAGCAGGGTACAGTGGAAAGATATGCACTTGGCTTCAAACCACTGTGACCTTAGGCAAGACTCCTCACCATTCTGAAACTCAGTTTCTACATCTGTGAAATGGCCAGAGTTCTTGGTGTGCAGTGGGTGCTCAATAAATTTTCATTCTTTTCAATGCTGAAGGCTGGAAGGTTTCAACTAAGCTATGGTCATAAGGCACAAAATCATGAATGTTTGATCCAGAACAAATTTTAAGCACCATTTCCTCTAACCCTTTCATTTTATAAAGGAGGAAACCAAAGGGCTCCAGGGACCTGCTCAAAGTTACAAAGCTGGGGTGTCAATCTGGGTGGCTTGACTCCTATGCTGTGTGCCCTTCCTGGTACCGAGCAAGCTGGTCAAGGACAGTCGAGTCGCCAGTCCTGCTATCGGGTCCAAGATGTCCCACCTCCTCCAGTTTAAATGCCTCCCTTTCCTGGAGCCTGCCCCCAGGGGGCTAGCACAGCTGACCACAGGCCAGCAGGACAGTAGGGGGTGGGACCTGACCTCTGCTGAATGTCAGCTGTCCCAGGGCAGAGGTCGGGCTGGTCTCTACTGGCATTTAGGAAGGCAGGCTGTTCCTTAACAGCATTTTGAGGTGGGTTCCATTCTGGGCTTCATAATGGACTCCAGCCCTGCTCTGGAGGAAGACCAGGTAGACCAGGATTGCAGGGTGAGTGGAAGGGCAATGGGGTGAGGCCCAATAAAGGCAGGCGGGTGGGAGTTGTTGCCATGGCAGGGACCAGGCATAAGGCAACTGCAAACTAAGGTCAGCATGGCAGAAGCCTCCAGAGTGACCAGGATTTTGGGAGGATTTGGGGACCTGGCTAGGCAGCCCTGACCCTCCTGGACGACTGTTTTTCACTACTTGGGACCTGCCTCTATAGGGCACACGCCAAGCCCTGCCCTGGTTGGACTAAACTGGCCTGTGAGCTGTAGAGGCCAGGGCAGAGCCAGGCCTGCCACTCAGACTAAATCCCCTGGCAGCAGCGAACCAAGGCCTTAGCAGGTAATAAAAACTCAGGGAGCCAAGTAAATATCCTGCTTGGCTCAAAAGGACCCCTATGACACTGCCGTGGTCATAGTGACCTAGCCACCCTGGCCAGGCTGGCTTTCAGGATCTGATTACACCAAGCCACCCGTGTCCTTCAGAGGATAGACTCACAATGCCTGGGATCTCCTACTGACTTACTGGGGTGTGAGACCCCTTCATAAGGCCCCCGCCTGGTTTGCTGCTGAGAATCATGGACCTGAGCATGTTTTCCCCTCATCACTTGGGCTGCTAGGAAGCTCAAGAGTACACAGTAGCCAGCCCAGAGCCAATCTGTGTCACAAACCACATTTTCTGGGACACCTTCACTCATGGCTGCCTGTATTTTTCTTTAAACTCTAATCTTCTTGGCCCGATTCCTTTTTATCTTCATGTATTTTGATAAGTGCTTCAGATACATTTTTTAACTGAGAGGCATATAAGTAGAAAACTGAATAAACAAATAAGCATTGGCACCTGGGATCTCATTTAATAAGTCTCAACCACCTGGGGAGGCCATCGTAACTGCTCCGTTTTTACGGAGAAAACGTTTTTTGGGGGAAATTGAGGCTCAGAAAGATGACGAGACTTTCCCCAAAGGACATTAAGAAGGTGGCCAAGTCAAGACTTGAATGTAAGTTCTGTTTCCAAGCCAGCGCCTGTCTCCCTCCTTACAGCTGAGACCATATCCCTCCCAAGCTCAGGTGGCCAGGCTATGGGCTAAAGTCACAGAACAAAACTGGGCCCCAGCTAGCAGCATTTCTACCTCCATCAAAAAGCTTCATGGAGAGCCCATCAGGCGTAACCAGAAAGCTGACAGTCAGACACGAACCAGCTACTGACCAGAGTACATTACATGCACGACCTCACTGCACCCTCCCAACGTGAAGCAGGTACTCTTGTCACCCCCGTTTCATAGATGAGGAGATCGGGGCCAGACAGATGATTTAACTTTTTCAGTGTCACACAACTTGTAAGGGTCAGACTCGATTCTGTGGGGTCCATAGAGGGATTTCATCCAGCAGTAAAGCTGTCCTGAACCCCTTCTATCTGTCAAGTTTAACCCAAATGGGGTGACAGGGCCCTATGAAGTGTCCATCAGTGACCAGTGAAGATGACCCACTGGATGGAACAGCTACCATCGCATCTGACCCATACAGCACCCCGCAGGGTGCTCACACAACCTGTACCATCCACTCACTCAGCAACTACTTCTCGAGAGCATGCTGTGTGCCAGGCACTGCGCTAGGCCCGGGAAGCACAGGAGACCAGGCAGTAAGAACCCTCGCCCCCGTGAAGCATACCCGGGTGAGTGGGACAAAGAACTGCAGTAGACTAAAATAAACGAGTCAAGTAATATTGTACATTAGGAAGAGTCATGCTCTGGAGAAAAATAAAGCAAGGTAAAGAAGAGGAGGGGGGTGGGTTCTGTAACAAATAGGGTGTCAGGGCAGACCTCACCAAGAAGATTAAGACTTAAAGATGAGGATGCAGGGGAAGAAGGTTCCAGGTGGAAGGAACAGCCGGTGCTCAGGACGAGTGCATCTGCTGTGAGTGGAGAACTTCCGGGAGGACAGACCAGAGGGAGATGATGGACCCAGAGCATGCAGGAACCACGGCTGGAAATTCAGCTTTCATGGGAGGATTCTGAGAAGAGGGACAAGATCTGCCTACGGTGTGAACAGGCTCACTTGGGCTGCTCTGTTGAGAAGACCTTGTCACCTCAAGGGCAGAGAGCAGGGAGAGCAGCAAGGAGTCTGCTGCACTGTCCAGGTGAGAGACGGATGGCTTTAAATCGTGGGGGGGGGGGGGAGTGGGAGGAGGGATGGAGCGGAAACTGGTCAGAGTCTGCTGGATTTGCTGATGACCTGGGTGTAAAGCGTGAGTAGGGAGTCAAATTCAGCAGCTCCAGGACCCAGAAGGTGGAATAGCCTCTGACTGGAGTAGACACCACCCCTCCACAGCCATAATAGAGATGGTAAGTGGCAGAGCTGAGCTTTAAGGCAGGCTCTGTCTCTGCAGGGTCCCGGTCTAACTGCTTCTCTCCTTGCAGGCATAAACGCTCAGGCTATAGTGAAGGATGTGGCCAAGGTCACACAGCTGCCTGGCCATTAATTAACCTTGGTCTCTGGATCCAAATCTCATGACCCTTTATAGCAGGCTCAGTTTAGAAGCTTCATGGGATGGATGGAGGTGGGGCGAGTGATGCTTTGGCTCTGAGGTTCCCCTGTGAGGTCTGGGAGTAGGAGCCAGGGCAGCACTGTCCAGCCCAGCTCTCCCCACCCCCAACCCCCACTTCCCAGGATGCATTAGCTCAAGGCCCTCCAGAAACTCAGGACCCCA